AAACAAACGCTATGGTCAAAGACTTTGGCTAGAAGTGTGGCATATAAATATGAGTAATCATGCTTTGAATAGGGATGATGGTGCCTATTTGCCAAAGGATACATGCCTCTCATTGGCAGGTGACGTCATCCCTGAGGTATTTACTGTTATGACATGTGGTTGTCATGAAGTATTGGAATGATGTTCGCGGGCGCAATCTCGTTTCTTACGTTTGATATACGTTTTTGTTTTGAAGAATATTTACACACTTGAATTGTTACAGAATAGTGTGTATATCTATTTAATTTACTGTCGTTTTATTCACTGTTTATGTGGACAAAATACAGTTATCGCAAGCAAATATTTATAACATTCATATTTCATTTAATAGCAAAGGATACATTGTTATTTAGGCGATTGTTTGTATCGCATATTAAGTTTATGTTCATTTTCTAGTTGAATCATCGTCAAGGATTGAAATGTAGAGTACAATGGCATTTATATCATGGAAGTAAAGACGTATTCGAGACTGTGTTTAGTGTAATAAGTTCTTTGTATGATTGCATGGTGATAAAATATATAACACTTTTTGTTTGTGGAAACACCACGTAAATTTATTAATGCAAAGCTTTCGATCCGTAAGCCCGGATATTATTAGCACTGATGAAGATCCGGACTTACGGATAGAAAGCTTTGCAGTAATAAATTTATGTGGTGTTTCCACAAACAAAAAGTGTTATGTGTTTAGTGTGTTTAATATATATATTGTGCAATTTCTGTTGTGATTACAACATTTACACCTTCACAGTGTTAAATAACTTTAATAGAATATTTTCTTGAGTGGAAATGGGCCTTGCCTAAAGCCCAGGTCACAGTACACAACGATAACGATACAATAACTTGTATACACGTGCTGATTGGTCAAAACTTTATCATTATTGTCCGACTAAAAAAAATCGCTCAGGTGAGCGACTTTAAAATCATTATTGTCTAACAGTAATTTTATCATTTTCGTTGTTGTGTGGACGATATTGCTGCAATGAAATGTGCCACTTTCTCTCCAGTGCCCTCGTGACTTCCTTTAGCCTTGCATTTATATTTCAACCCCCCGTTAGGTCTTTGCCAAACCATTGTTTTTGGCGCACGTGCGTGGTCAGAGGCATTTTACTTATGAGTGAAGCTGACACCATCAAGGTAAAAAGAAATACCATTCTTTCAAATATTTGGATTCAATTTCTTGCAAATGCAAGCCATTTTAAATCCTTTCGTGTGAGTAGTCGCTTTTTCCGAGCATGTCTGTATCTCAACCCATTACTTCGCATCACCCACCTAACAGTCTCATCTGATACACAGGATTCAATTCCTGCAGGTACACAAACATGCCTACTCGTGAAATTCCTCGACAGAATCTCATAACACCTCAACTTGATGTAATATCGAACGCTTATCTCGCTCACTAAGTTTAGAAGGTCGTCCAGGATTTCTTTTTCTTTTATCTACAGCAGAACTTCCAACTGGTTTTTTGGTGTGCCTATATATGCTTGCCTTCGAAAACTGTTTGTATTTATCAAGTAATTGTTTTCATCTAATGCCCAAGTTTTGGTAAAGATATTGCAGATGGAGAGAAACCTCAATTGGAATCTTATTCAATTTTTTGTTCTAAAATGTATATATGCAACAGCTTTTGAAACCCAAACTAAGTAAATTTAAGAAATGATTTTAGGGATCAACCACTTGACTGCACAACCTATTGATGAATTTACGAAGATAGTTTTATGCATTAAGTTGAGTTAATATAGCATTATTAATGCATGTGAAATTATAGTAATTTCTCCCACATTTTCTAGACAATTTCATTAACCACAGTTACTCCAACCCTCCCACCCCCTTACCCCACGATAAGGATTGATATGGTAGCATTATACCTTGAAAAGACCTTTGTCCAAAACTCACATTTTATAGGCCATGAGAAGTCATGACATTGACACAGACTATACCGTAGGTAGCAACTAACGCTGTTCCCAGATGTTATGTATATCTCATTCAAATGTCAATCTGCATAGCCATAGCATCAACTTCTTTCAAATCTTCCCCGTCAGCCTCTTCTCCATACACAGCTTCTATGATGTCGTATATATCTCTGTTAAAATTTGACAGCATTTCGTCAGATGAATCAAAAGCCCCACACGATTCAGCCACATTCGTTACGCCGTCTTTGATAAAAAGCAGTGAAGCAATGCCCTCCATTGAGAACCTATTTTGTTGGTTGGTTTTGATCAAATTAACCTGGGAAAAGGCACGTTTACAATCTGCATTACTAACTGCTGTTATAGTTAGCCTTTGCGAATGCTACTAAATTTGGGTACTTGAAATCTGCTGTGTTGGTGTAATGTACTCAGGTGAATAAGATGTTTGTGTGATGTTACTCTGAGTGTATATCCGCACCTGGCAGGCTTGAAAAATAGGGTTCATCATGGTGCAATGCGACTCAATGGGTTAACTAGACATATGGGCAGAGAGGCCAGTTAACCCATTAAGCGCCAGCGCTCTCCCCTTGACAAGTAAAATTGTCTGGCGTTAGACAGAGTAAAATACTCTGGCGTTAGACAGAGTAAAATCGTCTGGCGTTAGACAGAGTAAAATCGTCTGGCGTTAGACAGAGTAAAATCGTCTGGCGTTAGACAGAGTAAAATATTAAACTAGGGTGCATCAGGGTGCAATGCGACTCAATGGGTTAACTAGACACATGGGCAGATAGGCCAGTTAACCCATTAAGCGCCAGCGCTCTCCCCTTGACGAGTAAAATCGTCTGGCGTTAGAGTAAAATCGTCTGGCATTAGGCAGAGTAAAATACTAAAGTAGGGTGCATCAGGGTGCAATGCGACTCAATGGGTTAACTAGACACATGGGCAGATAGGCCAGTTAACCCATTAAGCGCCAGCGCTCTCCCCTTAACGAGTAAAATCGTCTGGCATTAGACAGAGTAAAATACTAAAGTAGGGTGTATCAGGGTGCAATGCGACTCAATGGGTTAACTAGACACATGGGCAGATAGGCCAGTTAATTAACCCATTAAGCGCCAGCGCTCTCCCCTTGACGAGTAAAATCGTCTGGCGTTAGACAGAGTAAAATAGTCTGGCGTTAGACAGAGTAAAATACTAAAGTAGGGTGCATCAGGGTGCAATGCGACTCAATGGGCTAACTAGACACATGGGCAGATAGGCCAGTTAACCCATTAAGTGCCAGCGCTCTCCCCTTGACGAGTAAAATCGTCTGGCGTTAGACAGAGTAAAATCGTCTGGCTTTAGACAGAGTAAAATCGTCTGGCGTTAGACAGAGTAAAATCGTCTGGCGTTAGACAGAGTAAAATCGTCTGGCGTTAGGCAGAGTAAAATCGTCTGGCGTTAGACAGAGTAAAATCGTCTGGCGTTAGACAGAGTAAAATACTAAAGTAGGGTCATCAGGGTGCAATGCAACTCGATGGGTTAACTAGACACATGGGCAGATAGGCCAGTTAACCCATTAAGTGCCAGCGCTCTCCCCTTGACGAGTAAAATTGTCTGGCCTTAGACAGAGTAAAATACTCTGGCGTTAGACAGAGTAAAATACTAAAGTAGGGTGCATCAGGGTGCAATGCGACTCAATGGGTTAACTAGACACATGGGCAGATAGGCCAGTTAACCCATTAAGCGCCAGTGCTCTCCCCTTGACGAGTAAAATCGTCTGGCGTTAGACAGAGTAAAATACTAAAGTAGGCTGCGTCAGGGTGCAATGGGACTCAATGGGTTAACTAGACACATGGGCAGATAGGCCAGTTAACCCATTAAGCGCCAGCGCTCTCCCCTTGACGAGTAAAATTGTCTGGCGTTAGACGGAATAAAATACTCTGGCGTTAGACAGAGTAAAATACTAAAGTAGGGTGCATCAGGGTGCAATGCAACTCAGTGGGTTAACTAGACACATGGGCAGATAGGCCAGTTAAATAAGAGACATTATGTTTTGAAATTTTACCAAATATTTTACCAAAAGTAAATTAATTTGCCAAATCTGGTCACACTGTGGAAGTACCAAAATCAAGATGGCGACAAATTCTTTGAGTTTGCAAATAATATCAAGAAAAGTGAAATAAATATCCATTTTTCTTCTTTTTGGTTGATAATTTTGTTATATTATATGTTGTACATTTAGTCTGTGAAAATATATATGCCTATAACATATTAGCCTGAGTGTCAGTCGAATAACGAATTATATTCGTCTGAGAACATTCGTCACTAATCTTGCCTGCTCTAATTAGCATAATTTAGCATAAATATTTGCATAATTACGTATCTGAGAAAAACAAAATGGCGTTTGCTGTGAGTGACACTGAGTATCGAACGACCATGTGAGCGATAATATCCTTTACAAGAGTATTGAATTTCCCACAGCTTTTTTTATACTTTAAATCGATGAGCTGCACTCTTTGTCATGGTGTAATAGAGAAAGCTTATCAGCGTTACCTGGTAGATGGAAAGGCAAAGTTCGATGTACGTGCTTCTCTCTCTGGTCTGCTTTTTGCCATAGAAATTGACTCTGTATATTTTTGAAAATTGTGTTTGGACAAGCTAAAGAACTTGACAATCTAAAAAGACAGGAACGGGAACGGCTTGCTATACTAAAAGGGCTTGTTACTTCGAGTAAACGTGTCCTAGAAACTCGCGAAAGTTCTCTTGCCAGCTCACCGCCAGAATCACTTGAACGTGTTAATATAGCGAAAAGACCATGTATTGAATCTACATTTAGACCGTTTGTAGCAACTTTATCACCTGTATCAGTGCAAACTGGTTGTTGGTCGTCGATTCCTAGTATAGAAAGCCCATCTTCATCACATGATAGCTCGGTTGTTCACCATTCTACACCAAGTAAACAGCCAGACATTCCCAACAAGCTCACAACAATCTGGTGTTGTAACTGTAAAGTTACAGTGGTCAAATAATAAAAAAGAAAGAGGTTGACCAGATGACTTGCAGTCTTTGGGTAAAATGCTAGTTCGCGGTGCTTACATGCAAATAGAAAATGCTGCATGGAAAAGTGCTGCTCTTCGCAAACAACTACAGATTGTAGCATTAAAACAGATTGATTCAGAATGCAATGGGTTGTGTTTGACAAAACAACCAAGCTGTTTGAGATCCCCCAATAAGGACAAATTGCTGGACTTTTCACTTGAAAAATTTGAGAAGGAGCTGGAGAAAAGGGCACCATTCACCCATGCTATCTTAGAAACAGCATGTGTTAACAGAAGGAACCACAATATAAGGGGCGAATGGGTCCCGTGGTATGACAGCAGCAGTTCTCTTGAGAAACCGATCTTCTCATAGGAATGCAGTGCAATTAATGCTGAGCATATTTTTGTATCATTCAAGTTGGTCGGTAAGTGTTTTTCATTGTATGGTACCTAACTATATATACAGATTGTTTATGAAATTTACCAGGACCTTGTTCTAGGTGTAGTTAGGGTCATGGCAGTGTGTGGGTTATGCAACAATCACTATGCCTGATATTCTATATCTGCCCCAATATGATTGTTGTTTAGTACCATACTCCAGTCTCCGGTAGACCAGTAATACTTTAACAACAAAAATAATTTCGATTGGTAGGGATGCAACTACCTGAAAAAACAAGGAGACATAAGACGTTTCGAGCGAAGGCCCTTCACATTAGCTTTACATTTGCAAAAATGTGTTAGACTATATATTATTACATGTATAACTAAACTATTTATTATAAAAGCTTACTGTACATTGATTATCTGTATATTTTTACTTAGCCTACGATGAGAAGATTGAAAATCTTGCGTCTGGTTGTCTCGCATACACAGCTGTACAGGAAGCTCACTGAATTTGGGCAGGATTATGATCATTCAGTTAAAATAATGAAGGAGCAAGAACGTGAGTGGGTGGAATCAAAGCGGATAGTGTCAGTCTCGGAAGCAAGTTCTACTGATGATGACCAAGGATCCAGTACTGACAGTGACCAAAGTTCTTCATCAGGTCAGGACTTACCCAAAACACCCTCGAAAGCTCAACCCACTGGTCAAAAGATCACTATTGATAATATTGATTACTCCCAAGAGGTTCATCATATGACCCAAGCTCACCAGACAATAGATAAACACTACTTGACTGTTTGTGCCACTGAAAACCGAGTTAGTGGTAATCATTTATGCACTAATCAGCCAGATGGTACTAAGCTCGAAAGTCTCGAGAATGGAAAATGTATTCCAAGTTCTAAGGAACAAATTCTGCAAAGAGAAGATTATATAAAACTTACAGAAAGAGCCCTTGTGAAGAATCTTCCTGGTCTGGAATCATTCAAAGATGTGGTTGTAACCCATATTCCTCATATGTACAGTAAAGAAGCCAAACAACCTACACAATCAGTAAGCAATTATAATACTTACAGTACTAGCAGTTTATTAGCCTGAGAATGCAATCTGTCCTCATCGTACCAAATTACAAACGATAAGGTATATGATTTTGAAATGTTGGCGAGATAATATTTTATGTACATATGTGACTGACTCCAGGGGCTGGTTGTTCAAAAGCCGATTATCTTAACCCTAGGTTAGTCTAAAATTCAAAGCAAACTTTCCAATTACTTGTTTACAAAATTGGAAATATTTCTTCAGAAGTCTTGTATGGATCAATGAGATTGAGAGTTTTCTTTTCTGAAGATGAAAACAAACATGCAGAAATACACGAACCAAAACAGCAGGTAAAATTTTAACCCGGGGTTAGCGCTAATCCAGCTTTGAACAACCAGCCAACATCGATAATTAAGAGCGGTCGTCAGTAAATATCGCCTTAGGTGTGTAAAACGTGAAAAATCAAAATCTCACAAACTGTGTCAAAATAAAGGTCTTTGGGTAGTATTTAAAGAAAAATAGTCTAAGGTCAAATGGATTTATATTTTAGGCACACGGCTACAATAATAGATTTCAAGGCTCTGAAGGAGACTTTACCGTGATTTGACCACAGTCGTTTGAAAGCTCGTCTAAAAATCTGAAACTTAATATAATCAAATAATTGAAAGTTTCTCAATAATACGAGTAACTGCTTCACATTTCAAGGGGTTGATATTTGACTTACGTTTAATATAGAATATTTTACAGATTTTTCAATGTTATGCTTTTTGGAGAGATGTTTTGTTGACACAAAAATGCCCAAGTTTGAAGGCTAAAATCACCACTGATATGTCTCTAGCGGTAACCAAATTAAAATCCAGCATTAGTTCGATTCCTCCTCTTCAAATACATGTTAAAATATTTTGGGGCCGTTCAATATTTTGTTTTTTATAAAGCGAAACAAATATACACTAAACGAGCTCCAAATGTCGAAAAAATTACTGCAATGCGAAACTGTCAATTCACAACCAATGTAAGAAAAATATTTTTTGCCTGTAAAAGTGCTTCATGCAAAGTTATTGTCCACCTTAGAAGTAAGAGGAACACACTCACTTACATTCTGTCCAGTTTATTAGTATCTTTGCTCGTGTCTGCCAGGGGCAGGGATTAATGACATGAAGTTAAGACCGCTAAGCTTAAATAACATGGTGAAGTACTCTTTCGACTTCGTATCATCGTTCATGACAAGAAACGTTCTGAATAACTTGAATAAACACATCCCGACGTTTGTAGGGCTAAAACAAAATTCACCAGCCGAGATTATCTCTTCAAAATTTCCAGGACAGCAAATGATTTGAATTCTCAACAACACAACAACAAAGACATCTTGTGTGACCCCATGATCAAGGTCACCATTGTCTCCAAAAGGTCAAATTATGTCAAGATAAAAATAGGTTACGCGTCAAGATAAAAATATATAAAAAGTTTATAGTCTTGCCTTTTTTTTATACGTGGAGTCTGCGAAAGTTGAAATCACCGATTGGCGATTCTATGAATATCTAATCTAAATGGCTACTTGCGGGTACTCGAGATTTGTCATCGGGCATTGCGGTTCAAGTAGGGATTATCCCGATGATCTTCCCTGTTTGACAATTGAAAACTGTCATGCAGCGAAAGATTAAAGGGCACCTTAATTTCTTGGATGTCTGAGATGCGAATTTAAAGACCGAGGCACAGCTTCTATTAGCTCGAGCAATGAAATGCAAGCAAACAAAACCCATATATTCGCTGGTACAATATTCGTTAGTCATGTCATAAACTGCTATCGGTGGTTAGCATTTGATACATTTGTATCATGGCCATGGGAACTAATACATTCTTTTGCGATGAGTAATTATTATTATTAATACAAATTAGTCTGATACCTATAATATAACATGAATCTGCTTGAGTCGGATCTAAAGGAAAGTATCTCTGTGTAGTAGTGTACTACCCTTCCCATCCTCCAACACTGCTAAAAATTAACTAATTAATTAATTATTACAAACGATTATGGCCACTCTCCTCCGTAGAGTCAATTATGTACGATTGTGGAAATATTATAGGACATTCAACTCAGAGGTGCACGACGGGGGGAGGGGGAGACCAATGTTTGACTTCTGTCTTCCCATCATACCTAGTGCGTTTTGACTAACAATTACGTAATTTGTTTCCCCAGTAATATTACGTAATTTTACTAAAAATTCGTAAGGCTCTGCGGAAGAGAGTGGATTATGCCGATGGCTGTCTCCAGGCTAGGCTAGTGATTACATGCGCATTATCAAGTGCACCAAAATGTACCATTGACACTCACTGATTTTGCAGTCAACTCGTGTTTATAGGCTTATTCGATGGCACTCACATGCAACTTAAGATAACTGTGTGTCCGCATCACCGGGATTTGTATGGCATAAGATGGCGCACATGCAAAAAGATGTGCTCTGGTCCTGTTGGTTGGTGCAAGCATATAAATATCGACAATACAAAGGAGACCGTGGTATTACATCCATCCAGTCTGAGGGACTCTACAGGCTCACAAAGTGCCTTGTTCCTGTTGGTTCGCGTAAGTACTGCATGGTTTATGGTCTGTTAAAATCATTTCTCACTTAGAAGGCCAGTCAGTCTTATTTTATTAATAAGTTTTTTTGCTCTATTGCTTTGTCGTTTATTGTCATAACGATATTCTTTTTAACAGCCATTTGTAGGCGATGCCATACTCAGTTAAAAGTAGATATGGAATCAAGCCCTCACACACTGACGGATATAACACAAGAATGTACTCAAAATGTACAAAGAATTACTTCTGAGGATACTGAAATAACTCAAGTACATACAATATTTTTGTTGTTTGTTTCGTTATATAATGACCAATGTCATTAATTATAACTGGGGCCGAACTATTCATCTTGCTATATTACATATGCTTCGGATCATAAAAGTACTATTCAATAGAAAGATTAAAAATATACTACAGCGTACTTAGGTCAGTTAAGGAACCTTGGAGCTTCGCCTCTTCTCTTAACGGTCTTGCTTATTCCATCTCAAGCTAAGCTTATTTAGTGGTGGTGTTTCCTTGCAGGAAATTCAAGAAGACAGAAACAATATGGAAAACCTATGTGACTTGCTTAGTAAGATATCCATTGTAGAAGAGGCTATCCTGTCAGACGAAGCAAGCAGCACCAATGAATCTACACAGATACAAGTAGCAACAATCAGATCAACAAAGGCTTTGCAGAAGAAAGAAGTGCAATTCTATCAGATAAAGCATCTACCAGTAATGGATCAATAACGGCAACCACCATTAGTCAGAGCTGAAAAAACTAAATGAATTTATCCATATCTGTGGGGGACGGAATCAATCGGTCAACAAAAAAAGCGGTGGGAAGAATTGACCACACGCAGTAAACATTTTCGTGTTGATAAAGCAATAGATGTAATTGTGTCTGCCTTGGAAGTGATAATACCTGGCGACGCAGCAAGTATTTGGGATGCTATTCAAACGTCACAAAGTGTCGAAAAGGCTCTTGGAATTTCACAACCAGCTGACAGGAAATATCTAGAAGCCCTAGCTGAGACCTACCAGAGTGCCACCAGCTGGGACACCTGAAGACAAGTCTTAGGAATAATTGCAGATCTGGTACCTTTCTCTCGCAGATCCAGAAATTTATCCCTGGTGTAACGGAATACTGTTTTAAGCAAGCCAGATTGCATATTCTTAAGTATGGGGGTGGGGCACCAGTTCCAGTGCAGAGAAGTCCCAGAATGAGATTAGACGAGTGCCAGTTGGATCAGTTCCTTTCCTTTATTACCAGTCCTCATGTTGTACAAGACCTACCATTTGGCCAACGATACCTCCACCTAGCAAATGGCCAAGTCCTAGCACGTCCAAACGTAATTCGATCAATGATTCCACAAAGAATTGTAATGCAGTACACACAGTTTTGCAAAGAAGACGGAACCAAACCATTGAGTCCCTCAACCGCATTACGAATTTTGTCAGTTTGCACCGCAACTGTACAAAGGTCTTTGCAGGGTTTGGATTAGCCTGCATGGCAGGCGGTATTTCTGCGGGCAGCGAAAATTAGGGAAGCAAAGGAAATACCGTCTGCCGCAAAACTAGGGGGTTTTGAATTACCCGTCCGCTGGTGAACGGGAAAAACGGATTGGTTAGTATTTTTATGTAGTTGTCAATCAACGGCTAAATTCGGTTAAATGTTAATCATTAACCAAATGTTTTGACGTTTTGAAACTCTGCGTTTTGAAATTAGTTCACGTCAAGTCAGACCAGAAATGGAATAACATAATAAAAGAAGCAAATTAAAAGATACAAGCTGAAAAATAACACTCTAAATAGTGTTATTGATAGAGATTCGAACAAGAATATTTAAAAAAGAAGATACGTCCGAAGGGGCCGAAGTTATGATCGGCGAAAGGTATGGGCTAGTCTATATTTTCGTTCAGACAATTACATGCGTATTAATTTGATAATATACTATCTCGCTTGACTTTCAAAGGCCATAAATCGCAATAATGTTGACATTTTACTAAAACTATCGATAGAAATTAGGAGATATTTCTTCACTGAATCGAACAGTGGGATTTCCATATAGGCCTATCAGTCATGTTCTGAACCAAAGATACTTGATAGATATTATATACGAACCTCCAAAGTATAAACAAGGGGCCGGTTGATGCAGTAATTATCAAATAACAGTTAAACTCTTATATACCCGTTGAATATGTATAGTTGTAAACAAATAAAAACTATCGTTCTATAAGGTTCAATACTTTTAGTTTGGTTGTTGACTGATGATGAATCTATAGTATAGACTTGCATGCTTTGTATTTTGAGCTTATTAAACCACCGTTTTAAGGCAGCTAAAGCTAAACGGGCTTGGTTTATATTAACACATAAAATAAATTCCTTAATTCTCATCACTAGACACAGTCTACACTTTGAAATGTCGAAGACAGTGGGAGATTTATTTTTTATATTTTATATTTATATAATTTATATATCAATAGTTCGTATCTCCACGAACAATGACAGAATGACTGAGTTTCTTTAAAATACAATGAAATTTCACTCAAAATTCTGTTTGTTTCAAATTGGAAGTTTAAAATGGCAATAAAAACTCTATATAAAATATGAAAAAATTAACTGTCTTGAATTATTTTGTCGGGCGGTACATTTATATTGTATAACGAAAAATAAAACGTTTTCACGAGGATTTTAAAATTCAGTCGGGCAATGATGAGAATCAAGGAATTTATTTTATGTTGGGCAGTTGGGACTTGGGAGCAGCTTGGGAGTGGCTAATTTTGAATATTTACTTAATTAATGCATCTATAAATAGCATTGATGCTTCAGGGGCGGTAGTTCATTTACACCCAGTTTTGCGGCAGGCGGTATTTCCTACGTACCGCCTGCCATGCAGGCTAGGTTTGGATTATATTTCAGCTGATGGGGCAAAGGCATTTGATGATCTGGCTGGGTTACTCACAAAGCTCAAAAACCATGGTTGTGATCAAGTGTTGATCAATTCTTGTGAAGCAGCATTAAAAGCTGGAAAACAGTACATTAAAACTGACTACAAGGTAATCATTTTATAATTATACATAGCACATTATATTTGTTGTGAGACCACAAAACCTTTGCCTATGATCTATTAGAATAGCCTTTGACAGAATTCCGCTGCAACACAGATGTTGTGGGAGGCGACTGGACTCAGGAGCACAGATTCTTATAATTTTAAAGTAGAAAAAAGAAACTAGTAAAAACTTATTGTTCTTATATTTTACAGGTGCACGTTTCTGAAGCATCAAATGTCCCTGACCACTGCTGCGTACATGCTTTGAGTGATCAAAAGCAACCTCTCTTCTCTTCCAAGTGCAACCATCTCCACGATCATTCCTGCTCGTCCTGCAAACAGTTAAATTCTACCCTTGCTTCCATAAAGTCATTTGTGAAAAATTCAGCAGAGAAACTTCCAGATGACGAGCGCGACAATGTAATATTTACCTGTCAGCAGTCGATAGCTGCAATAGAAGCATGGAAACAGCATCAGTAATGTTCTATTCAACAGGATAAAGCCTGCACAGATATCCTTACCATTGATATTCATCCCTTGAAACCCATTTGGAATACAGAGTATGCAAGCTGCAGCTGGAAAGACAAAGCCTTCTTGACAAGGCCAAACGCCTATGTATGTGGAAAAACTATTGCATGGAGCTGGAGAACAGCCTGTGGTGAAATGTTCTGATACTCTTCTTGTCAACCGAGACGACATGCTGCCTCAGGGGTGGGCACTAAGAACGACTAAATCTAGCAAGGGCTTTAACGAGAGGCAGAAATCCTACCTTAATGAGAAGTTTAACATTGGCAATGAGACGGGGCACAAACTTGATCCCGTGACACAAACTTGATCCCGTGACAGTGAGCCAAGACATGCGTTTTGCCAAAGATCAAGACGGAAATGGGCGTTTTACCCTGAATGAGTTCCTGACCCCCAGCAGATACAATCATACTTCTCTCGAAAGGCGTCGAAGCAAAAAAAGGGGCAAGTACAGCCAGTGGACAGACCTGAAGACAGAGTTGCAGCCGAAGACCAGGAGGCCTACTCTAATACACGATGTACCGTTATAAAGGAGTATACACCCATTAGTGTACGATTCATACAACCTCTGTAATTTGGTTGCTAAAAAAAGCTTTATTGAAATTCAGTGTCTCCCTCCTCCGTGTAATCTGTGAGCATTTCCATATCGATGTTTCTGCAATAACTGCCCACTTGAAAGCTCCTTGTATAGCTTTGATTAACGATATGGTTCAATCGTGCAGCTGTTCAAGCTAATGAGCTGCATGTCATGCTTATTCACTATTAAACTGGACAGAATGCAAAGTGAATGTGTTCCTCTCAGCTCGATATAGACAATAACTTGGTACGAAAAACATCTTGGGCAATGTTTTTTCTTCTTACAACGTGACAGTATACTTTTACATGTAACATGCATGTATTTGAAGAGGAGGAATTGTACTAGTACTGGATTACAATTATAATAAACCTATTTAACCTTAGACCTGTTTTTCTTTAAATAGCCTACTTCCCAAAAACTATTTTGACAGAATTTGAGAGATTTTGATTTTTCATATTTTACACACCTATTGCAAGGCGGTATTTATTTTCGACCGCTCTTAAATTTTCGCTGACAGTTTTCGATTGTCAAACAAGAAAAGTCATTGGGATAATCCCTACTTGAACTGCACTGCCCGCTGACAAATCTCGAGTACCCACAAGTAGCCATTTAGATTGGATATTGATAGAATCGCCAATCGGTGATTTCAACTGTCGCAGACTCCACGTATAAACAAAAACTCAAGACTATAAACTGTTTATTAATAGTTTATATATTTTATCTTGACGCGTAACCTATTTTTATCTTGACGTAATTTGACCTTTCGGAGACAGTGATGACCTTGATCATGGAGTCACACAGACGTCTTTGTTGTTGTGTTGTTGAGAATTCAAATCATTGCTGTCCTGAAATTTTTTGAAGAGATAATCTCGGCAGGTGAATTTTGTTTTAGCCCTACAAACGTCGGCATATGTTTATCCAAGTTATTCAGAACGTTTCTTGACATGAACAATGATACGAAGTCGAAAGAGTACTTCACCATGTTATTTAAGCTTAGCGGTCTTAACTCCATGTCATTAATCCCTGGCAGACACGAGGAAAGATACTAATAAACTGGACAGAATGTAAGTGAGTGTGTTCCTCTTACTTCTAAGGTGGACAATAACTTTGCATGAAGCGCTTTTACAGGCAAAAAACATTTTTCCTACGTTGGTTGTGAATTGACAGTCTACGTGGCAGTAATTTATTCGACATTTGGAGCTCGTTTAGTGTATATTTGTTTCACTTTATAAAAAACAAAATATTGAACGGCCCCAAAATATTTTAACATGTATTTGAAGAGGAGGAATCGAACTAATGCTGGATTATAATTTGGTTACCGTTAGAGACATATCAGTGGTGATTTTAGCCTTCAAACTTGGGCATTTTTGTGTCAACAAAAAATCTCTCCAAAAAGCATAACATTGAAAAATCTGTAAAATATCCTATATTAAACGTAAGTCAAATATCAACCCCTTGAAATGTGAAGCAGTTACTCGTATTATTGAGAAACTTTCAATTATTTGATTATATTAAGTTTCAGATTTTTAGACGAGCTTCCAAACGACTATGGTCAAATCACGGTAAAGTCTCCTTCAGAGCCATGAAATCTAAATTGTAGCTGTGTGCCTAAAATATAAACCCATTTAACCTTAGACCTATTTTTCTTTAAATACTTCCCACCTTTATTTTGAAATATTTTGAGAGATTTTGATTTTTCATATTTTACACACCTAAGGCGATATTTACTGACGACCGCTCTTAAGTCACAACTACACTGTTTTCAAATTTCAGATTTGTTTTTCACAGGCTATGGGGAGAGAAGTAGAATAGCATTCTTCAACACAATCATAAAAAATAATTTTGAATTTTGACTAACAAATGTGCAAATAAGCTTTAACATGAAAATGAGGTTCCCATGCTGGATCCCTGGAGCCTCGTTTTCATGTTAAAGCTTATTTCCACAGTTATTGGTCAAAGTCCAAAATTCTTTTTCATAATTGTGTTGAAAAATGATGTTCTGCTTCTCTCCCCATAGCCTGTGAGAAATAAACTTGAAATCCATTCCATTTAAGGCGGTCCTAAGATGAAAACATTGTAGTTGTGATGTAATTATCGAAAGGGTGTATTGCATTGGGTGTCCAACTGTAGCTTTGCCAAACACCGCAGTGACATATAACTCGCTGGATATCTAGGAGAACAGTTTACAGTTGATATGTCAGTAGAGCTTGTTGGTGTATACAAGTAAATTTTAAATTAAATATATCTTTTTCAAGACATTTCTTGGAGTGATATACCAGAATGAGGCTGAAGGAATCACAACCATTTTGAAGGAACTACATAAATACGTTCCATATGTTGGAAGTTCGAAAAATCGTGAGTATGCCGATCAGGCAATTGTTGGAGACCAGTTAATGGTCGAGCGCGCTGTTAATGCACACAACACTCTCAACAATGGATTTACTCCTAAGCAGAGACTGGATGGTCTACATTTTGAGTTTGCTGATTGGCATGGAGTCAATAAATCCTTAGACATGAGTATATAGTCAACCATAGATCTGTAACATTCACCCCCAAGTCAGAAAATGTGAGTGTGTCGATCTGACTCAGTCTGTTTGGTTCTTCCTTGTTTGCAACCACATGAATTAGTATAAAATTATGTGATTGCAAACAAAGAATATGAGTACCACAGTTCTTATAGTTAATTTAACACATTGAGTGGCATTGCACCCTGATGCACCCTACTTTAGTATTTTACTCTGTCTAATGCCAGAGTATTTTACTCAGTCTAACGCCAGACGATTTTACTCGTCAAGGGGAGAGCGCTGGCACTTAATGGGTTAAAATCACTAATATGAATGTGCTTAGGCCTAAAAAATAAATTGTTAGGTTCCGGTTTCCCAACTGACTCTATCATGTAACAATCTACCCTACTTTTTCCAATTTATTATTTTTTTTGTAAAGTTGGGGAAAATGGTAAACAAAGACATGTCAATGATGGCATCTTGGTTCCCAAAACCAAGCATATTGTTAAATAAAAAAAAATAAATAAATAAAAATCCCAACTCTGTGCTGACTCCAGAATCAAATAATTTATTGTTTAGACCTCACACATATAAATTTATTGTTATAGGTTGCATTTTCACGATTGTATAGTACAGCTTCAGCTAATGACAAGTGCACACTGTATAGTTATCGTAACTTAATCAACCGAAAAAATGTTAAGGCTGACGTGCAATCCAATGTAAATGCATGTCGAAGATTCTTTGCTATGGAAGTTGAAGCTAGATTGGTTGCTGCTGGGGTACTAGAGCTGGGTTTAGAAGACATCAATGAAACATCTGAAGCATCAAATTTATCCAACCCATCATCTTTAACAGAACCATAGTTGATCGATACATCTTGGATCAGGAAAAACACAATGCTCTTTTGCCAGCCTGCGAAGAGATGGACATTCAGCAAAGTGAGTCAAGAACACATGTTAATAAAGACGGGCGATACATGTGTCGCTTTCAAGGCTGCTCAGTATCATTTGCTAAAGATGGTCAGTGCCGACAGACCCATGAATTAAAGCATAACCCCCTGTCATTATTCCCAAAGAACCAATTACAACCTATTTCAATGATAATCCTGAAGAAGCTGATGATATGCTGAACTATCAGAAATCCCTGATGGAATTAGGAATGCTAATTGCTAATTTGAGAGATGCAATTTCTGAAGGTAAATAAAGTACTATTTAAAACACGAACAGGAGTGCTTTATCAGATATAAAACACAAGAGCGCAGCTAGAGTGTCTTATATCGGATAAAGCACAGACTGCGAGCGTTTTAAATGGCTTAAAAAACGACCCATCTAAAGAGTTTGTTGGCGAAGTAATTTTAAAAATAAACTTTTAAGCCAAGAAAATCAAAGCTAAAGTTTATGTAAATGAACATGATTTTTATCACATATAGAACCACTGACACAGTACACCAACTAATTTGGAACAGGTGGGATCAGCAAATATATCTCTTGATCTGAATCTTGAATTCCTAAACAGAATCGTAAAAGAAGCAATTAAGAAACTTGGTCCAAATGGAAGCAAGAAATCGATTGATCGAATCTGTCGCACCATGAAAACAACCAAAGCCCTCATGGAAAACTTTGACACAGAAGTAAAAAGCTACAAACCATCAGGAAAGCATGTACCAAAATCTTCCGCTAAAGATCTTCAAACGATTGTCAAGGAGTTACTACATCAACAGGCTCTGGTCAGAGTACCTGGGAGGTCTTATAGCTTTTATGGGGGGTTAAATCTAGCTTGTTAGCTGGATTTGCTTTGCAAAAGATGTATCATTGGATAAATGAACACAAGAAAAATATTATACTCCAAAGAAGGGCTAGATGACAGAAATGACATTATAATATAATGAATTTGTCACTTTATACACGATACAAACTAATTAATTAAAGACAAATAAAGACAGATACAAATCGTGACAGGGGAAAGGAACAGGACTCTCGTCCCAATTGACACCTAACCCCTAAAAAGATGTTAAATATAAATAAAGATAAAGAACAGGTTATAACACATTAGTTATAACAACTTATACTAGCTAAGGTTTAAATCGTGACTATAAAAGTACTGAATGTTTACACACTGCGACTTACCCACTATGCAGATTACTATTATGAATTATTCAAAATCAATTTGGAAATCACGAGTCAATTTATAACATATTTGTAAATATGATGAAAATGGCCGGATGATGGTTCAACAAATCGCAATGTGTAGATGCTGATCACGCAGTGCCCGGAGGTACGTAATGCGATAACTTAGTAGAATACAACTTATGAAGATGAGACTTGAAAATACTTAAAGAATTGGAGGATTTGACAAGAGACGGTAGAGTGTTCCATAGTTCAACCGTTCTAATGAAAAAAGAATTTCTAAAATAGTCCTGCTTGTGTTTAATTATAAGATTACAGTTGTTTTTATCATAATTTCTTGATTGGTATCCAGGTTCAAAAGTACATATATATTTGTTCACATCAGTAGTAATTGCTCCAGTTCTAGATTTAAAAAGTAGGCATAAGTCTGAGATATCTCTTCTGAACTCAAGAGGGAGAATCTTGATCTTCGCGAGTTTGTCGGCATACGTTAGGTCCTGTGGATAGTCAAGAATAAACTTTGTTGCCCTCCGCTGGACATTTTCGACTAGTCTCTTATGCTTGATGGTATAAGGTGACCATAAGCTGCTGGCATATTCTAGAATGGGCCTCACGAGAGCGCAGAATAGTAATTTTCTCACTCTTTGGTCGTGGGTATCCTTGCAAGTTCGTTTGACAAGTCCGAGTGTTCTGTTGGCTTTGGCCACCGTTTCTTCTATGTGTCATGACCACGACATGTCACTGCATACAGTCACACCAAGATCTTTGACGTATGGAACACATTCCAGAGGTTGACCGTCTAAATAGTACTGAGATACAATCTTCGTCTTTTTTCTCGAGACCCGTAGTGCTTGACATTTAGATTTGTTAAACTTCATCGCCCAGTCGAGATTCCATTTATGAAGGTTATTCAGGTCGTTTTGGAGGTGAAGGGTTGAGTCAGGAAGAGTAGTAATAATAAAATTAAAAAAAAAAAAAATGGGGGGTTTCGGGAACCGGTGTAGATTTAACTGGGATTAGTATTACGAGATGGGGTGTGGTAAGGTGTGGTAGGGCGTTGGCCGGGTCTGTACGGACGGGGGGGATTTTGTAGGTCGAATATGCAGATTTATTTAAGTTGAGTATGCATGAATTATATATTTAAGAGTCACATGCGGGAATTTTAAATCTACGCCGCTTCCTCTGTAATTCTACGCTGGTTCCCGCACTAAATCGTTGTGATGACAACGGTGACGTCATAGACGTGTGTGCGCGAGTAGCGTTGTTACCCCGAAGCCTTGGTTGACCGAACTGAAGTGATTTGAAATTGGCGCGCTGTTTTGTAGAGGTGAGGGGGCGGGGCGTGTGTGTTGGCTGCTGATTGGTTTGTAAGTGATAACGCGGTATTTTTCAAAATATTTTATCATAAGAGTGTGATTTTTAGTGGTTTTGTTTCATTCTTGGTCTAGAGAGTTATGGAGAGTACAACACATCGTTGGGAGAAGATAGTGGGGGAATGGATGAGTAATAAAACTATTATGTTTGAGGAGGATGAGCGTAAGTTGCGCGACGCTATAAAGAGTTCGTGGGACATTAAGGATTTGGTAAATTTATTATTGAAACATGAATTGATACCGGATTTTGTGTGTGATAATGTGTGTCTGTACAATGTTTTAATGTTGCAAATGGAAAGATTAATGATTAGTAATTTGACAGTTCCAATGGCTGTTCAGGGTGTTAATTTTACTTATACTTTGAATTGTAAAGAGATGAAAATGCATGTTGTGTGTCGTGATTTGTAAAAGGCTAAAGATGAATTGGAAAAGCTTACGGGTGTGAATCTTGATCATTATTATCGTTTGAAAAGGGCAAAGAAAAAGCGTAAGATAAATGTTGAAGCTGGAAATGCTAAAAAAAAGAAAACTGTTGCTATGACGCCCGACGTTAAAGGTGACAAAGGTGATGGTGTGAAAGATAATACTAAGAATTTGTTTGGGTCATGTGACGTTAATATGACGGATAGCAAAGGGCAGGGTTTTTTTTAAACACAGTTTATACAGTATGGCAAGTGATAAAGAGCTTGAGGAGAAAGCGTTAGCGCAATATACTATGTCTTGTGGTGTATCATGTGTACATTGTCCCCATACAGAAATGTGCGTGGCTCCTACAAGTGAGAATTTTAAAGCTCGTTTTTGTGCTGTATGTCGTGTTTCTTTGGTGGGTACTTTGCAGACATATCGTTTGGAGAAACATTTGGAAGCTATGAAAACAGCTGATAATGAAAGGGATCGATTTATGTCAACTGGGATTGTGTATCACTGTAATCCGAAGCGTTATGAATATGTTGATGTGAGAACAGGTGTAAAGTTTCACGCTTTGAGTCATGCTACAGATGAGGCATTTGCGGAATTTCAAGAATATAAAAAAACATTCGAGAAACAATAAAGACCTAAATGTATGATGGGATATTAGTAAAAGACCTAAATGTATGACGGGATATTAGTAAAAGACCTAAATGTATGACGGGATATTAGTAAAAGACCTAAATGTATGATGGGTTATATAGTAAAAGATTTGTTTTAAAAAAATGTCTGTGTGTTCAGATTTTTTTAGTAGTGGGCGTATTTTTCGTCGATTTATTGTAGATTGTGAGACTTTTGAAAATACTGTGAATTGGATTACACCACCGGAACAATGTTTACCCTTTGTAGATAATGTTTTAAATGATGTAGTGCACGTGCGGAATTTTTGGAATTTACTGTCCACTGATAAAATTTGTACTCAGGTTTATACGGGAAGGTTTATTGATCAGTTGAGTGTATCTGGTTACGACTGTTCTAGTTTAATATCGAAGTGTAGTTTACAACGTGTTAAACGTTCTTTAGAGTTTTGTGAGCCAACAGTAAAAAAAGTAAAAAAATAATGGAATGTAAGCCACCCGCGGGTTGGACGGGTAGCTGTGAAGATCAAGTAGAGTTGTTTATAGAGATTTTGGCGTATTTGGTTGATCGTGAAATTTGTGATATGAATCGAGGTTGTCGTGATGTTGGGTATTATCAGAAAGTGGTTCCCGATTTAATGCAGACAGGGTTTTATACTCGCGCGTGTGAGGAGTTTGATGATTTCCTAAATCTCTGGGATGTCGAATATTTACCCGAAACGGGTATTAAGGAGCGAGATTTGATGAAAAAACCTGATTTACCTCAAAAATTGTATTGTACGCGTTTGACAGCTCTTTGTCCTGACGGAAAGGTTAAAAAGTACAGTGAACTATACGAACAGTTAGAGTAAAAGAACGTTCTAAGTTAAAAAGTACAGTGAACTATACGAACAGTTAGAGTAAAAAAAAATGTTATGACGTAATTCTTCTAAATGTATTATGGGTAAACAATAAAAGATTTATATAAATGTTTGGGTTGTTTTAAATTTTTATAATAGTGTTGTGTGTAGATGAGAACAGTAGTCAAAAAAAAAATGGGAAAACCTGTTGGTTGGGTCGGTGGTTGTGATGATCAAGTAGAGTTGTTTATTGGGATTTTAGCCTATATGGTGGATCAGGAAATTTCTGAGATGAATTGTTCTCGCACTCTGGAGAATTATGTGAAAAAGGTTCCCCATTTACTGGAGCATGCGGGTTTCTACGAGCGAGCGTGTAAAGAGTTCAGTTGGTTTTTGAGGAAGTGGGGTGTCGCGTATTTATCTGAAAGTGGTGTCCACGAAGGGAAATTAAAGAATGATAAATTACCCGAACAGCTGTATCATGTGCGTCAAACTGCTCGAAGTGAGGGAACAAGATATGCTGAAGTATACGAACAGATAGAGTAAAATATACGAACAGAAACGGTAAAAAAACCCGTAAAACAGTATATAGAGTAAAAACAATTTATTTGCTTTTTTTATATTCTATTACAAAAAAATTTTGTGAGTGTTCATTGATATTTTGTTCATATTCTTCTCGGGTTATCTTTTCTACCATTTGATTTATCTTTTCAATACATGGTTTTTCAATCTGGGTAAAAATAAAAAATAAAATAAGAAAAAAATTTTGTGTGCACATTATTTTATTGGTTTTACTTACCGTAGTTAATTTGAGGTATTCACCCTTTTGAAATATCATAATTGTATACATAGAGTCCACATTTAATACAATAGCCATTGTATTTTCAGGGTAATCTTGTACTTGCATTTCCTTTGGGACTAGTCTGACATAGTAGGTGTCTTGACAATTGTTTCGCAAATATGAAATTTTGGGTAGTGTATACGTAGCCATTGTGCGCATTGTGTTTTTGCGTATTTTGTTTACATATTTATATAGAAAAAAAACATTTTCACATATGGTATAAAAGAATTTATTTTTTTTATGTATACAAAGTATAGAATCTTTCGTTGTCTTCCGGTTTGTCACAATGTTCTATGAAGCAAGCTGAAGTGATATTTTCGTACAGGTTGTCGATTTCATTTTTACAGCGTTTCTAGGGAAAAACATTATTTTAGATAAAATAAAAATTTAAAAAAAAAATGTAAAAAAAAAGGATTTACCACGTCTATGCGAATACAACTCAGAGATGGTATGGAGCATATTTGAAGGGGTTCTTGGATATTGTGATTATACAAAGTAACTACGTGAGAACCATGAATTAAAGGATTTGATTTGACGGGAAGCAGTAAAATGCGTACGGGTCCCTTTGTTAGATTCTGTAAATACATGTACTGGATTAGATTCACATTGATTTTTGCCATGGTCATAGGTTTTCCATCGACTGTATGAGTTTCTTTTTCCATAGCGGTAGTTACACTTGCGCATACAATCTTCATTCTTATACTAATGGGGTAAAGTTTTTTGACGATACATTTATAGCATAAATAGTTAATATTTAATAGATACCTTTAAGCTATTCTGAAACATTTCGTTGATTCATCTTGTTCTCGTAGTACATTTAAAAACCATTCTCTGCTGCGTTTAGATGCTATATCATCTAAGTACGGGGATGTTATACCACTGTATAGGGTGAATATTTCGAGTACTTCGCCTTTTTGAAGTGTTGTAAATTTTGTGATAGTAGAAACTCCCGAACATACGAGTGTTATACAACTGTTTTCGATGTCACCGATGTAGGAGGGTGGTGCAAATCTGATTGATATGGGTTTATTTGAATCGTTTAGGTAACATATTCTTTTTGTTGTGGGGGATATAACTGCTGTTGTTTCGGGGTGTATGCTTGTTAAACCCATGTTTTGTTTTTTTTAATTTTTAGTTTAGTGTTCACATCGTTTTATTTAGTTTTGTTATCACCATATATGGTAATGTAACGGAAGTTTTGGGTTGTTAATTTTATATATAAACGTTGAAACGGGGCTAATTTTAACCGTCTTCATGAACTATACTTCTGTTATCGTTGTATTTATCGCTATATATATCTTTGTATTGTACGAAGCTTGGTTAAAAAGAAATAAAAAATGGCACAAACAATAGATGTATTGGAGGGAAGTGATGATGAGCTAAAGGAGATAATGAAATCCGATGAACCAACGATAAAAAAAAGAAAGACTGAAGAAAAGTGTGAGGGTGGTTGTATACGGGGCGAGTGTGTGTTGAGGAACTTTACTAAGGAGGAGAAAGAAAAGTACTTTGAAGGATTTGAGAAGGATTTAAGTGATGAAGAAGATCGGGAGAAAATTACAGCGCAAAAGAAACTTTTTGATGATGAGGATGATGATGGAAAATTACATACACCCCCGCCTATGGGGTTGTGAACAAACTAAAAAACTAGAGACAGTATTAAAAAGATTTATTTTTATAATCATTTTCCATTGTAATTTTTAGTTTTTGAATCATTCATTTCTTTGCTATTAAAAGTTTTATTCAGACGATTGTCTAATATTGTCATATCTTTATTCCACAAGATACTCGACTTGACCGTTTGCAATTGTTTTTTTTGTTCTTCTGCAGTTAGCGCAACAGGATTCAAATTGCAGTTGTTGATGTGTAAAGCAGTAATACCCCCCGCTTGTTTTTTCTCCATTTGCTCTTTCACGATATTGTTTGAGGGTTGTGTCGATGGTTGCTTCGATGTCATCAAGGGGTGGTGGTGGTGGTGGTGGTGGT